GAGGTTGCTGGGGACGCCAAAAAAGACCCCTGAAAGGGATAATTAAAAACGAAGATGAAAGTCGACTACCATTTCTTTGTTATCTAACACCGAAAGAGTCAAATTCTCACAGCCAACATTCAATCGTGCTCCGGCGAGCAGTTAATTCTCACAGGTGAATGCAGATAGATTATTTTATGTGGATATTCGTCCGATTTTCTCCCTCAATGTTCCACCCATTCGGGGCTGTTTCCCACCCACTAACGGCCATTGAGAATTGGAGGAGAGATACGACTACATTTGCAAGTTGGAGCTTTATCGCACTTTTCCAATAGTAAAATTTTATCTCTTTGTCAATTTTCCCACCTCTTCCGCGCGACCCAGCATTGAAAATCCCTTCAATGGGGGCTTTTCATTCTGCCTCTGCTCAGACAATTTAATCCACTTTTGGCTGAACACAGGCAAAAACAACAGTTAAACTGAATTACTTGTGTTCCACCTTTGACAGTGGCAGCAAAATTTCACGTCAAAGACTTGTCAATTTCCAAAAATTCAAATTACAACGTCATCACGTCGGTGCATGTCGAACTTCTCATCTTACCAAAGTAAAATTATGCTTTCTTCTCCGCACTGTTAATTGAGTTGCTTTGCCGGGGTTTCCATTATTAAGTGAAATAATTAAATTTCTTGCAACGCTGGCAATTTCATTTTGCACAATTATAACCGTTTGTGGGAGGTTTCTCTCCCATCATTAGAGACTCTTCCTGTGCTTTGATGTGGTTTCCCTTTCTTTGTCATCGCCGCACAATTTTAAAAGGCTTGCAAGAGAAGAAATTGCAAAATAATAAAAGTCACTGAGCGAATGAGATTTCCATCAACAGGTCTTTCGCTTCTCTAATTCAGGTCACTCTATATAGTTTCCCCGTGTAATTTTCCCACCGTCGACTGTGCGACATAGAAAAAAAGGTCAATTTGCAGCAACAGAAAGCAAAAAAGATGCGCAGTATGAGAGATAAATTGTTGAAATTCATTTCACTTTTCAGGTTCAGAGACAAATAATCAAAATATTGCGAGGGAAGCGAACAGCGAGAGTAAAAATGGTCGGTCAGCAAGATAAATGGAAATACTCGACAATGTCGAACAATGACCACCGAATGACATTCATGGCATTCAATTTGTTATTTCATAATATCTCGAATATCCAGCAAAAACTGCAGCATCTCGAATGTCATCCTCGAAATCATCACCAATTTTCCACCTTCACAGCTTCAATAACTATTATATTTTATGTCTGAAAGTGGAAACTTTTTGGCTCTCCCATAAAATAACTATATATGCTTTACGACCATCTGCAAATGATGTTCGCCGTTACCTGATATGCTTTAATATGAATTTCCTCAATTGAAAGCTCAAAATGTCCATATTTGTAAAATATTGCACTAATTTACGTTTTCGCTAATAAAAGCACTGCGTAAATTGAACTGCGACTGATTTTCATACAAAAATAAATAAATTTCAATAAATCATTCAATGTTTCACATAAATAATATTCTGCCGAGGTAGTAATTAAAATATTAATAAAGTTTGCACACAAGAGAGTAAATGGATGATATTTTCAAATTATCATTGCATTTTTTACTAACATTAATTACATATGAAATGCAATTGATTTTCATACATTGAAAAGAAAGAAACATTTTCAAATGATACATTTTATATTATTTTCTTCACACAATTTTCAAAAATATGCTGCTCAAAACATTAAAAAATGCAATTCATAACATAATAATTGCCTTCACCAAAATTGGTATTCAGTTTCACATCATTTCATTATGAGCATTAAAAAACTCGCCGCAAAAATTTTGGCATCACCAAAATTATTATACTTAATTGAATTTTTAGCAATAAAAATGTGGTCAATTATCACATTAATAAGCAATATTCCATATTGAGCTATCAAATATAATTGAATATGTATCAGAAGCCAATAAAATTACCTGCATAATCATCAAAATTGAAAGTGTACTTCGATGAAACCACAAAGCGAGTCGTTTATTTAAGCTCTTATATAAAAATTGCACATAGAATAACGACTCCACGTGATTCAAAGATAGCCAAATGCCCACCAAAAAATTCGATATGCAAGAGAAACGACCGAGAAAAGTCACGGAGGACTTTTCCAATGTCACACGGGGTTTATTTAATGGAAATCTGATTAGAGTCCATCGAGGAGCGAACGCCACAAGTGCTATTGAGAGTGCAGCTTCCAAATCTGCCTCCTCGACCAACCATTGGACGCTTGAATTGTTGTGCAGGCGCATAAAGGTGAGAAAACAGCCACCAATATGCACTCCGATATAATGACTTTACTGCCAAATCGAACATTTTTCGCTCCATTCAATTCACATTCTCACCCTAAATCCGGCCTTTCTCCCGTTTTCAACCATGGAATATCGGACAATCAAGTATGGAATGACCAAAATTCATGGCACACAGAGAGATGTGAATAGAGAAAGTGATGTAAATTAGTAATACTAATTTCCTATGACAACTACATTGAGGAATCATAGCCCGAGACTTCCTTAAAGTTAAGACTTAGAAGAAGAAAATAACTCACCACAGCGTTGTCTTGCTGAATTCCCAACAACTCAGCCCAACTCGATGGCGCTGTGAATTGTAGCAATGCTACAAAACCTGTTTCACCTTCCCTTATCTTCAATGGCCACATTTGGTCACTGGAAGTTGTCTCTCTATTGCCTCACACCGATCGTTTCTCGAGCTTACGGTCAAAATGCAGGGTGGCGCAACCAAAATGGGTGGATCCGGGATGCCGCAGTGAATAAATTTCGCTAACCATCCAGATGCATCTAGAAAGGAAGCGAGACACTCGGTGAAAGAGGTCAATTTGTGATTATTTCTTCATCAAATGACATCGCTTACAATAATGGATTAAGAAACACATAACTAATCACATGCATATGCCAACGCTACACCCTATATCATATTGAACATTTCCCTGCAGCTTCTGTTGCTCCAACTTTGAGGTAAATACCAATGATTTTCCAATTGGTGCACCGCATGGCAAACCTGGGGAGTTTTCAGGTGAGCCAACAGGAGATTGTCCAGAGATACAAGGCTACAATTCTATCGTTAGCACGGATGCAAAGTACACAATCAGGCAAATGGCATCTCCGCCTGAGGAAGCAAAGGTGAGCCAACTGCCGAAAATATGACGATGCAGTGGGAAATCGATTTTGGATAGAAAAACAACGATGCGGAAGACTAGCAAAATCAATTGATACCATTTTATTGGTGTTTGTGTTTGCGATTTTGAGATGTTCTCATCGTTCGAGTATGAATCAAATATTGCCTTTGATTTTCAACGCTTCTCCCTCTCTTTTTCCTCCTCCGCAACTTATCACAATCCCCTTTTCATCTAATTGGATTGAGAGACTCTTGCCATTTTCCATGTTGATCTTTCTCAGCTCTCAACTTTCCGACTCGTTGGTGGAAAATGTTGCTCCAACATTCACTTTGGTAGCATCTGCAGAGTATTTTTATGTCCCTTTCCCACTATTTAACGGTGCACTTTTCATCATGGGTTCGGAAACTGCATAGAATCACCCGGCGACTCCATCGACATGCGCAAAACCCGTCAAATGTTTGCCATGCCACAAATATTCTACGTGTAAAAAAGTATTTTGCGACTGAAAAGAGAAATCGCGCATAAATCAGGAAATTGAGAGCGGATTGTAAATCTGTCGCATTGGGCGGTAAACAAAGGTGGCAATTTCTTTAAAAGAACATCATGTTGCTTTTGGAAAAGGAATGGCACTTCGATAGATTTATCATGGCAAGTGAAATTGCAACATTTCGTTAACCAGCCTCAAGAAGATGCAAAAAATTACGGAAACATTGTCTTTACTTAATTTTGACATTTATTTCTAAATGATTTTTGAGATATTTGAATTAATTTCATAAACAATAATTAAGACACCAATGAAATAAAAATTGCACATTAAACTTACTTATTAATTATAATTTGCATTATTAGACAATTTAAAAAAAATCATTTTTATCTAATTACACTGACATTTGAGTATATTGGTTAAAAAAAATCCAAGTTATCAGTGCTGCGCGGCTCATAATTTGTGTCCATAATGTTTAGTGCACATTCAAGCGCAAAATTGAAATCTTTCCTTCCTCACATTTCTTCGCAAAATAACAAGAGAAACGGCCGAGAGGATGTTGAATTAAATTTACATGATGTACAATTTCTTCCTGACTGTTTTGCAGTGCTTTTCCGGCGGAAGTTGCGAAAGAGCCAGCGGGAAATCGACATTTTCCCCTTTTGCACCAGCAATAAATTTGTCCAAATCTATTTAAGGAAAATATTGACTGTGCAAGGATGGAAATTGCCGAGACACTGTGACGTGTAGCAACTCCCACGGAAATGTATTGTAAATCACCGGCATTCCTACAGAATCTCCGCATGAAGACTGCCAGCAAGAGTGGGTGGAAAAAGCCACGAGAGTAATTTCTTCTAATGTGATTTCACAGACGTAAAGTAAAAAAAACCCACTCACTTCATCGTTAATTTCCACGAATTTTCCTTGGCGCATTCGATTGTGGTGCAAATGAAAAATTCGATCCAATTCCTTGGGAATCCCACATGGAAAAGATAGATGAATTGCATTGTCACCAGTTGGCAATAAAGTTAGCGGGAGTTTGAGAGCAAACAAATTGCGAAGATATTGAATTCCTTGAGGGCTATTGTACTCTCTTTTGCAATCTTTGCTGGTAAGAAAATGAAGACAAATTTATTATAATAATAGCAGAGGAGCAACACGCTTGTTATTGTACAAAATTGATTTTTTCGAGAGGGAGAAAAAAACTATGGGAAATTAGACAGCTGAGCGAACAGCTGGAGGGATGCATTCCGTCCTGCGAACCGTGACCATGGAAACTCTGAGTGACACAACAAACAAACCCTTTTGTGGAGTGAATAAAACGCCGTAAAGATGGAGAGAATCCGTTTCATCCTTAGCACTTCAGGTAAATCTTTCTATCTATCCACAAAAAGACACTTCTCAGATGCTCATCTCTTGCTCCACAGCTGACTTCTTCAGCGCTTCTCAAGCCACCGATGAGTCTACTGTAAGAGCCTTCTTTGAGAGCGAGGAAATCACTCTGCTTGCTGCCACTGCTCATGAGAAGAAGATTATATTTCATCATAGGATTCCTCAGGATTGTGACAATTGCCTTCTCTACTACAAAATCCCAAAGCTGAGCAAGAGTGTCCAAGAAGACTCCGGAAGCGCCTCAATTGGTCTTCTATCGCTTGAGGGCGGAATGGTGAAGTCAATGTACAATTCTGTGGCCAGGATCTTCTCCCCAAATGTGTCTCAACGATCAATTTACACTCCTGAAGTGGCCAACATCCTTGACACTCTTCAAATTACTCTTGGCTCATCTCTGGGTTTCCCTGAGTCTGGGATTATATCTCTCCATGATGAAGTTAACTATTGGCAGCAGAAATCTACTCAATCCTCAACGAAATCCGACAGAGACAAAGCCAAATCCTTCGCCAATCTTCTCGAGAAGCTCGACAGCGAGATCAGAAGGGAAGATATACGCATTCTGAGCAATCTTGAGGAGTTCCTAGACAATGCGCATACCACACTCGACGAAGTGTGGCGCCTTCCAGGACACTTTCCACAAAACCGCATGGCAGACGTGATGGATGTGATTTGTCTCAATATCCTGGAGATCTGCATTGATAATCTCACAGGAGAAGATGTGTGGAGTTTGGACAATATTCACGTGAGCACTGCTTTTGCCCACATCGGAGAACTTGCTGGTAATTGGATCCAGATCTGTGACTCCCTGACGAGGCTCTTCTGGCCAAATTACGCCCAACATCCTTGGCTGGGAGAGTCACACGTCCCCCGTCAAGCAAAGGCCTTCACTGCCCGCCTTGAGGAGGTGAAGAACATCAAGAATCTCTACCGACAGATCGTGACTCTCTTCACTGACAACACACACTTGATAGACTCTGTTAATAGGATGTTCCAACCATTTAGGAATCTCAATATTCTGGATATTCAACCCCTCGGAGAGAAGCGCTGGCGTTCAGCCTTGATGCACTTTGAGAAGATTCTCGAGCCAATTGATGAAAAGATCGCCAACGTGCTGAAAGGAAAGCTTCATCGTCATCTGGACAATCCACGCCAAGTGGTTCATATCTTCTCAAAGTTCGACATCATCTCGACGCGCCCGATGGTATTGGAACTGCTCACGGCGGAAAGAGAGCACTTCTTGCAATCCCTCCAATTCCTCATCAAGGACCTGCAAGTGGCTCTGGCGCAGAGTGGAGATTCTGTGCATGAGAACAGCCACATCTCGCCGATTTGCTGGGAATGTCGCTGGCTTCGAGTGGTTGAGCACCAAATAGATGAGATAAGCAAAATTTCCCATGTTGTCGCGAATCAGGAAAATCATGCGAATGTCTTCAAGCAATTGACCGATTTAAGAGCAGAAACCCAGAATCTTTTGAAAGTGAACTTCGATTCCTGGTGCGAACAATCCCTGGCGGCTGTGAAGAGTGGCGAATTGACGATCAGAGACGACAGATCAGTTGTGGAATTCGAAAAGACAGGCCGACAGCTCATGAGAGTCACATTCAATGCAAAACTGATTTCTTTCTGTTACGATGTCAAGGAGTTTGAAAGGCAGGGATATAAAATTCCTCTAGAACTCAGAGATTCCGCATCACATGCTGTTAAGTTCATCTCATATGCTAGACTCTTGCAGCAAGTAGCGACTTTCCACAATACGATAGGCGATAGAATGATTCCTTGCCAGCGACCGATAATGCTGAAGAACGCCGTCGAGTTATCCAATCTCGTTCGCAGTGAATCCGTGGCGTGGAACGACGAGGAATCCGTCAAAAGATACATTGGAGTCCTGCAAGGAGCTGTGCAAAAGCTATCTAAAGACAACGCAATCCTAGCAGGATATCATGAACAGGCCAAGAGAATCATCGTGAAGCTCATGTCGACGGATTTGCAGCGACAGGCGCAAATCTGGAAGGATGAAATGCGTCACTTGAGAGATCTGGTTGCTCAGATTGAGAGTCAAGGTTACACAAATCTCGACGCATTCAAACTTCACCTCGATCATCAGCTGTACAAAGTCCTGGAGTATCAGTACGTCTCTGGTGTGCTCAATCTCAACAATAAACTGCCTGACATTTACGTGGACATCGTATTCAGACAGCAACAACTACAATTCCGACCGCCTCTGGAGGAAATCCGGGCGAAGTACTTCCTTCAACTGAGGAGATTCATCGAGCGTCCGCTGAACTTCCGTGGCCTCTCAGAGCGCAGCGGCGATCTCTTCAAAGTCATGGTGGAACGCAACAGACACTACTTCGGCTCGGTCTATCACAAGGCTGAAGATCTGTTCAGGAATCTGAAGCGCCACAAGGATTCCTGGTTCTCCTGGGTCGCGCTTGGCTGTGTGGATCTCGAAGAGCTCTGCAAGATCCACCTCTCCACATGGCAGGATTGGGACAGGAACTTCCGCTCTTGCAAGCACTTCAGTCAGCAAGTGGCGAAGATCCAGAACTCTGAGGAGAGAATTGACTGCATTGTCATCAATCTCTCACCACTGAGATCGGACATTGAGTTCATCAGCCGAAGATACTGGGAAGCATTGACTAACAGCTTGAGATCATCCATTCTGGAGGACATCTCGGTTCTTGAGGATTTCCTTCACACCTCTTTGCAAGTCCTACAGAATATTCCTCTGGATGAGAACGGAATCTCTGAAGCTGGCGCGAAGTATGAAAAAATCACCAGTGAACTGCCCAAAATGACGGAATTGATTAAATCCGTGCAGGGAAAGGACACTTGCTTGGCAGGATGGTGCAAAGAGCGAGTCACATCGTTGGCAAATCTCCTTGTCGGCTGGGATCAGTTGCAACCCTTGATAGACAATCATCACACAGTGCTGCAGAGGCAGATCGACATCATGAAGGATCATCTCACGGGACAGATTGAGAATCTCACCGAGGAAGCTGAGAAATTCCTCATCCGTTGGGAAGCCACTCTCGCCGAAATGGAGGCGAACGAGAAAGCGGATCTGAGCATTTTCCGGGAGCGCCAGCAACAATGGGAGGCTTTGAAGGAGAAGAAGGAACACCTTCAGGCCAACTGTGAGAAATTTAATGTCCCCCTTCCAGAGAAAGTCGAGGAATCCTTTAAGAAAGTCCAAAATGATGTCACGGAGTTGGGAAAACAGTGGGAGCACTTTGAGAGATTCATGAAAGAGTTTGATGAGATTGGCGCTGAAGAGTGGACAGTGTACAGACGAAGACCTTACATCCTCACAGACTTCCTCGGCAAGTGGAAGAACGATCAGTCGATTCCCGTCACATCGGCCACCACGAGGATTCACCAGATGATAGAAATGTGCCAGAATCTCGTGCCGGTGCTGCAGAATCTTCAATCCGACGCCCTGACTGAGAAACATTGGGCCAGAATCTTTCATCTGCTGGGAAAATCACCTAAACCGACACATGATATCCTCCTGAAGGACATTCTCAGCTCTGGCGAGACACTCTCACAGCAAACGCCTGAGATTCAGGGTATTGTTCGGCAGGCGTCGTCTGAACAGATTGTGCGCCAAGCCCTCACCGAGCTGGAACAATGGGGAGTCACTGCATCCTTGAAATTGACTTCCCACAAGGATTCCAAAGGAGAAGGCGTGTCCCTGATCCGAGATTTCCAAGAGATCCTCAACAAAATCGGTGATAATCAGTGTCTTTTGCAGTCCGCCAAGAACTCTGCCGCCTTTGAGGCATTCTCTGACCAAGCTGAGATTTGGGAGAGTCGTCTGGCCACACTCGATCGTATCCTGAGCAGCTTGAGTCAAATCCAGAGGAAATGGATCTACCTCGAGCCCATCTTTAGCGGCGGTACTCTGAGAAGTGAAGAAGTGATCTTCTTGAGAATAGACAAGGATTTCCGCTACATCATGCGTGAAATTGTTCAGGATCCTCGAGCTCTCAGCGTCGTGAAGATCTCCAACATAGCAAATGTAATTGAGTCCCTGGAGAATCAGCTGTCTCGCTGCCAAAACACCTTGACAGCCTACATCACCAGCAAGAGAAATGCATTTCCGAGATTTTATTTCCTCGGCGACGATGATCTTCTGGAAATCCTCGGCCAGGCATCTAAGGAAATTATTCTGCAGAAGCACATCAAGAAATTATTTCCAGGAGTTCATCACTTGGGCATCAGTCCAAAGGACGGAGAGCTCTTCATCGACGGCATCCATAGTGCAGAAGAAGATGCAGTTTCGCTCAGGAATGTCATTCACATCAGCGGTCCAGTTGAAGATTGGCTCAATCAGCTGGTGATGGAAATCAAATTCACACTCCGAGAATTGGTAAGAAGATGCGTGGAAATCAAGGACTTCTCTGAAGAACACATCGCTGGATTTCCCATACAAGTTCTCACTCTGGCCAGAGCCATCAACTTCACTCGCGCCACGGAGAAAGCTATCACATCCATGAGCATTGGAAATCTTCTCAAGTCCACAAGAGCAGACATTGAACGATTTACTCTGTTGGCCGGCAAGACGCAATCATCTCTAACTCAACTCAAGATTCGCTCGCTGCTTGTTGATCTCGTTCATCACGCCACAATCCTCGAAGATCTGCAACGAAACAACGTCACGAACATCCAAGATTGGATGTGGCTGCAACAACTCAAGTTCTACATCGACCGCAATTCAGCAACAGTGACATCGAGGATGGTTTACACGGAGTTTGAATATTCTTACGAGTTCCTGGGAAATCCCAGTAAACTCGTTAACACCTCTCTGACCCACAGATGCTATTTAACGCTCACGCAGTCAATGCATCTGGGGTTGGGTGGGAATCCCTTCGGGCCAGCGGGAACAGGCAAGACAGAGTGCGTGAAGGCACTGGGAGCGATGCTAGGAAGACTAGTTCTTGTCTTCAACTGCAATGAAAATGTCGATAGTGCTGCTATTGGCTTAATTCTATCAGGACTGGCCAGATGTGGAGCTTTCGGATGCTTTGACGAATTCAATCGTCTGCAGGAAGCCACTCTATCAGCCATTTCAATGCAGATTCAACCTCTCCAGCAAGCACTAAAAGAGAAACGCGACACAGTCACGATTCTTGACGAACCCGTGAGTTAATTTTCTAAACCTCTTATTAGAAGCCAAGTTATCAACACTTACTTTGCAGATCCCTTTGAATCCACATTGTGGAATCTTCGTAACACTGAATCCAGCTGGAGAAGAATATGGTGGTCGTCAGAAGCTTCCGGCTAATATTCAGAGTCTCTTCAGGCCAATTGTGATGCAGGAACCAAAACCGAAAGAAGTAAGTTTAAAGGCATACCTTGGATTCTGTTCATGCTGCTCATTTCTTGCAGATCGCACGAGTTCTACTCTTCGTCGAAGGCTTCGAGAATGCGGATGAGATCGGAGAACGCATGGTGGAACTCTTCACGTTGGCGAGGAAAATCCTATCTCCTCAGCGTCACTACGATTGGGGCTTGAGAGAACTGAAGACAGTGCTAACAGCTTGTGGAAAATCCCTAAGAGAAAGGAGATCAACAAGTCTTTCAGTCCAGGAAGAAATGGAGATTGCTGTGCATGCAGTTAGATCGAATACCATGTCAAAACTCACCTTGGCAGACTGCAAACTCTTCGATGCTCTCATAGAGGACGTGTTTCCAAATATCGGAGTGACAGATTTTAGAGAAAAAGACCTACAAAATGCTCTTCAAGAGAGCTTCAAGAGTGTTGGATTGATAGCAAATGAGAGACAAGTGGAAAAGTGCATGGAATTGCAAGAGCAGTTGTCCAAGAGAATGGGAGTTGTTGTGGTTGGACCACCGGCTTCGGGGAAAACGACTCTGATCACAATCCTGAAGCAAGCTCTGATGAGTCTGGGTCGAGTGATTAGAACCTACACGATTGCTCCCAAAAGTATGAGCAGAAAACTCCTTCTAGGTCACCTGGATCCCGACACAAGACAGTGGAATGACGGAGTTCTCACCACAACAGCTGTGGCTGTAAACTCTGAGGACTCTTCCATCCAATCTTGGATCATTTGCGATGGCGATGTTGATCCTGAGTGGATTGAAGCGCTCAATTCAGTGCTGGATGACAACAAACTCCTTACTTTGCCGTCTGGATGGCGAATTCAGTTCGGGAACAATGTGAACTTTATCTTTGAGACCCATGATCTCAGTCACGCATCTCCAGCAACAATATCGCGCATGGGCATAATCAATCTGAGTGCCAGAGATCTTCCTGGTGATTTACTCCTGCAAGCCTGGCTTCTTAAGCAGACAAACGAAGAGATCTTGAAGCGTTTTCTGGATCAATACCTCCGGAGAGGAATAACATGGATTGATAAGAATGTCTCTAGACCTGTTGCAACTGCATCCAACAACATGATTCTCTGTGCTCTTCAGGCTGTTACAGACACAGCGAGCAAGGATGAGTTCTGCGTTCAATTGGTGCAAGGCTTGGGAGCGTCTTTAACAGTTGAAGCCAGAAGAAAGTTTTCTCAGCAGATCTTCGAATGGGCAGACATTTATCTGGCCAACAGATCGGACGCCGAGCTTGTAAGTTACAATAACTTTCGCGACACTATTGAAGTTCATGAACTTGAAGGCACCGCAGGATCTACAAGTCTTATTAAGACTCCAATCGCTAAGGCGAACATAGATGTCCTGCGGCACTTCTTGAAGGGAGATTCCAGGGCTCCTTTCCTGGTCGTAGGTCCAGCAGGATGCGGCAAAACTCTTCTGCTGGAAACCACAGTTGCTGAATTTGCGGGTTATCAACTCGTCACGATCAATTGCAGTGCTCAACTGACCGTGAGTTATGTTCTTTACGTTCTCAAGCAACATTTTCTCGTGATCTCTGGCATTCGTGGGCGGGAATATAAGCCCAAATTCAACAGAATAGTCGTCTACCTTCGCAATATTCACTTGTGCCCAGTGGATGAGTGGGGAACATCTGAAGTGGTTGAGCTGCTTCTGCAATTGATTCAACGAAGTGGTTTCTATGCTGACACTTTGGAATGGATAAGCGTGACTGGACTGCAAGTTTGTGGATCATTCTCCAGCACTTTCAAGTCTTCACTCTCGCCAAGATTCTTATCAGTCACGCGTTTCCTCGTGATGGATTATCCTAGCGAAAAGGACATGAATGTTATTGTGGAGAATCAATTTTCACCCATCTTTTCGCGCTTCAAAACATCCAAGGTTCGGATGGAGAAGATCGCTGAAGCCATCATTGCAATATACCAAGAAATTAAGACCTCCTTCACAATTGATCAGCGAAGTCACTACGTTTTCACGCCAAAGATGATCACGAGATTGCTTTCAAACTTATCATGCTATCCTGCTGAGAATCTCCCAGAAGCGCTTCACCATGAAGCTTGTCGAATGCTTAGAGATCGACTGACTTCTGATGAAGAAATCGTTCAATTCGATGAGATTTTTTCCTCTGCAACCAGACAATTTTATTCCCCGCCCAGCAAGAGCGTTTTCTTCGTTCCATCTTCGGTCAAAACCACCCAACTTCAGAGTGCCCTTGCTGAGGAATTTCTTGATAGAGTCCAGAGATCAATTGGAATCTGCAACTCCGAACACATTGCGATCGATTCTCCAATCACAGATCAACTCTTGACAACAGTTGCAGCGATTTGTCGCGTGATTTGTCGTCCGGAAACTCACATGGTGATCGCGGGGTTATCAGGATCAGGACGAAGAGAGTGTTTGTACATTGCTGGAGTTCTTCTTCAAACGAAAATCCACACTTTGCAGGCCAGTTCGAATTACTCCATTGGAGACTTCTTTAGTGATCTCAAGATTGCCATGCAATCCGCTGCTCTGGAGGATCAGAACACAGTTCTTCTCATCGATCACACCTGGATAGAGTTCCTGCCGACGATCCTGGAGCCAATTGAGGCACTCTTGGAGGGGAGTGAAGTGCCAGACATCTTTGGTGATGATCTTGAAACCATAGCAAATCCGCTCAGGAGCGCAGCTCAACTAGAAGGATATCAGGAATCCTTGGCTTCATATTTTCTGAAACGTGTTGGTCAGAATCTCCATTTGATCATCAGTCTTGAGAGTTCATCTCCCAACATAGATGAACTGTTCACGAAGTATCCTTCGCTGTACAGAAATGCTGAGATCTTTTTCCTTCATCCACTCTCTTCAGAGGATCTCGAGAAGTATTCGAAGAATTATCCAGAATCTGTGGAGAACTTTAAGGAATTCCCAGTTCCTAAGTACTTCTCGGAAGTGCTTACAACAAGTGGAAAGTGGAATCAATCTCCACAGAGGATGAAACAATTGATCATTGGATACAAGAAGATCTCATTCTCATGGTCAAAGAGAATCTCATCCCGGATGGAGAACTTGAAGGCCGGTGTAGAGAAGCTCTCGTCAGCTTATAGCGTTGTGGCATCTCTGAAGAATGAAGCGACACAGCAAGAAGAGGCAGTTACTGAGAAAAGACGCCTCGCGGCTGAATCTTTAGAAATGATCTCCGCAACAATGCGATCAGCTACCGATCAGAGAACAGATTTGCTGGAGTTGAAGCAAAAAACTGAGGAAAGTAGTCGCGCTTTGGTGGAGAGAAAGAAGGCGATTGAACTGGAACTTAAAGAAGTCGAACCGTTGCTTAAAGAAGCGATCGCAGCTGTTGGACAGATCAAAACTGAAGCTCTGTCTGAGATTCGTTCCTTAAGAGCGCCTCCAGAGACTATAAGGGACATTCTCGAGGGCGTTCTTAGATTGATGGGAATCAGAGACACTTCTTGGAACAGCATGAAAACATTCCTGGCCAAAAGAGGCGTCAAAGAAGACATAAGATCTCTCGATCCTGCGAGAATCGCTCCAGAAAATTATCAAGCGGTCGAGAAACTTCTTATCGCGAAGGCGGAATCTTTCGAAATAAAGAATGCCAAGAGAGCATCAGCAGCTGCAGCTCCTCTGGCCTCTTGGGTCATCGCTAATGTCCAGTATGCCAAAGTGGTGCAGAGTGTCAAGCCTCTAGAGAGAGAGCAGAATGAACTGAAGCGAAATCTCGACGAGGCAGAGACACAGATGAAATCCCTCATGTCAGGACTCGATGATGTGGATTCCAGAGTGAAGGAGCTCTCCAATCAACTCAATATGTACACCCAGGAAGCTGCAGTGCTGGAGATCAAGCTCAATGATGTCCGGAGCACTCTGGCATCGGCGGAGACTCTGGTGGACAAGTTGAGTTCTGAGTATCGCAGTTGGAGTGAGCAAATGCAAGAGTTGCAGGAAGAATTGGACTCTCTATCGATAAAGGCCTTCTTGGTCAGTCTCTCCATCAATTTTTTGAGTCATTTATATCTGGAAGAGCGCTCTCAGGTGCTTAGCACAGTCATACAAACTACAGAATTGCCTCCATTCGATCTTACGCAGAATCTAGTGACTGAACAGGAGAAAATCATGTGGGAAAGTATGGGACTCACTCCAGACGCTCAATCCCTCCAGAATGCTGGTCTCCTGACCAAGATTCTCTCCCTTCCTCTTCGGGATTCTCCAATTCCTCTCCTCTTGGATCCTTCAGGAAATAGCTTGCAGTGGTTTATTGCCTTCCTCCGCACCCACGAAAAGTCCTTCGAAGTCTCATCGCAGAGCGCCGAGAGATTTGCATACACTCTCGAACTTGCCATTCGGTTCGGGAAGATTCTCATTGTCCGGGATGTGGAGATCTTCCTTCCATCTCTCCTCTCAGTCATCATCTCGAAAATCCACGTGCGCTTCAATAAGAAACTCCTTCAGGTTGGCAACAAATTGATCGACTTGCACGACGATTTCCACTTGATTCTCACTACAAGTCTGGATAAATTCCATCTCAGTGCAGATATTGAAGCTCTGGTCAGTCCAATTCCCTTCACCACAACCATCAGTGGACTAACGGACCAACTGATGAGCAAGAGTATCCTTTTGAAGAGGCCAGATCTCGAGGAGAAGCGCATAAAACTCTTACAAAGCGAAGGAAGCATGCTGAAGGAGAGAGAAAAGCTTCAAGAGCGTCTTTTGCAGGAACTTTCCACAGCCCAAGGAGATATTCTGAAGAATGAGAAACTTATCTCTAGTCTGAACGCTGTGAAGGAGAGCAGTGAGTCGATTGATGCATCTTTGAGGGAATCCACAGCCGTCCGGAAGAAACTTATGGAGGATTACAGCAAATATCAGAGCCTCTGTGCGAAATCTGCACACTTTTTCATGGGAATCGCCGGCATTTATCCACTCTCCGTCAATCTCTTCTCAGATCTCTTCACTGAAACTCTCGGCAAGGAGGCTGAGTATGATGAGGAGAGGATCTTCTCCCAACTCATTCATCGAGTGTACATGAATCTCTCCAGAAGTGTATCCAAGCAGAATTATCTCGAGTTAGCGCTTCACATTTGCAAGAACGCCTATCCGGACAAAGTGCCTGAGAAGGAGTGGGAGTTGTTCATAACCAACTTCATCTCCACTGAAGACTCTTCTGGATACCACTTTCCCGAGTGGCTCAAGCGGGAACTCATCCCGAAGTTGACCACTCTGAGATCGTCTCACGTGAAGCTCTATGAAGTGCTGCAACTTGAGAATCGCGATCTCTGGAGTAATTTCATGGGAGGAGGAAAAGCCGAGCTTCCGGTCAGAGTCAGTGACTTTCAGAGGATTCTCATCACCCAGATTTTGAGGCCAGATCTCATGATGCAGGCTATTCGAGAGTCCGTGACCCGAATTCTGGGCTTCAACACAATGTCAGTCGTTCAGCCTTCGATTGGCCAACTCGCTCAGGAAGCGAAGAGTGATAAACCCATCCTGATAATCAGCTCTACAGGCACTGATCCGTCCAAGGATCTCCGTGGCTTTGTCACTGAGAAGATGCAACCTGAAAAGTTCGTGGAAATCTCCGTGGGAAAAGGTCAGGAGCAGCACAGCATTCTGGCTCTTAGACGAGCTGCAGAATCTGGCACTTGGATCTGCCTCAAGAACATCCATCTCCTGCCCAAGTGGATAAAGACCCTGGAGACAGAACTCGCCTCTCTGTCACCCCACAAAGACTTCAGATTGTGGCTGATCTGTGAATCAACTCAAGACTTCTCGGAAGCTTTCGTGTCCAAATGCCTAAAGCTGCTCTTTGAACTCCCGAATGGAGTGAAATTTAAAGTGCAGCGCCTTCTGAAGCAGTGGGAGACTCTCATGACATCCAAGCGAGACCCCAGACTCGTCAAGCTCTTCTTTACGCTACTCCTGTTGAATGCGGTGCTTCAGGAGCGCCGAAATTACATTCCTCAGGGCTTCACGAAGTGGTATGACTTCAGTGAGTCAGATTTGAGGGCCGGAATTGACTGTGTCAAGTGGATGGAGACTACTTTTGCCGTAAAGATGGAATGGCCAATTCTCCACGGACTCCTGGACTGCATTGCGTTTGGCGGACGCATCGACAACGTCCAGGATCATCAGGTTCTTCTGTATCACCTGCGAGACTTCTTCGGCGATGCACTCTTAACTAGTCGCTGGATTCCACCCAATTTCACAAAGCCCGCTCCTCAGAGCACCAGCATTCAGGACTACTACAACTTCATCCATGGGCTCACTGACGCTGACGATCCTGAACTCTTTGGCCTCGCCGCAACCACCAACGTTTCGCGGGATCTCCTCTACTGTCGCAATCTGCTGAAGCACCTCCGAAGCACTTACTACAAAATAGACGATCAGGAGAACCTAGAGAAGCGAATACGACCAATCCTGGCCACTTGGAAGAAGCTCGTGTCGGTGAGAATCGCCAATTTTTTCTCCTGAAAAGAAAATATTTATTAGTATTTTGGCTTTTCAGGGATCAACTCTCATGGAAACATGCCAGAACATCCCAGAAGATGATCACAATTCAGATCCTTGGATCACGTTTATCCTCTCTGAAATACGTCTCGCCGGTAATCTATTCTCTGTAAGTAATTATTGAAGCATTTCCTACACTGTTCCATCTCCTCATTTAGCAATTTATCAATTGAATTTCTCTTTTTCCAACTATCAAGCATCAAGATAATTGAGAAATATGAGAGTAAAAGTCACTTTCATTCTTAATAAAAATGTTTCAATTTATTATACTATTATCATTATCGGTCTTGAAACATATTTTCATCATCTTTTTTGTTGTAATTATTTTAAGAAATAGTAAAAGTAAAAAAAAAAAACATGAAATAGCATTGGTTAAATGCTCTAACTCAGCATAACTCCGCCATTGACAATCTTAAAGATCCACCATCGCGAAAGACATAATCATAAGTGTAAAAAGGGTCAACATAATTAGAAAATTAATTAAAAATTGTGTTTCAAGTTTGAAGTCGTGCACAAAGTCGCGTCCATTTTTAGTTACTTGTTGTTTTTTCCTTCATTTTTTGTTTATATCCTTATCAATTGTCACCTTATTTAATTTAATATATACACAGTTATGACAAATATATATTATGTTTATGTAGTTTTATATATTCATTTATTAGGTATAGACTAAATTGTGTTTTAACCAAGAATTTTTCACTTGTATCAGTTTTTTGTTTCCTCTCACACTTCATATCGCGTTCTCACAAATATCATGCCATCAATAGCACTGTTCTTCGTTTCCTCTAATTTTTCATCTCGTAAAATAAAATCATTAACCATAGTTTTTTTTCTTTCATCTCTCTATCCTGTTGTATTTGCACAGTAAACACATCGCAACTTTTCTCAAAGTTTTTCCCAATCATAAATCATCATAAGATCCTAATTTAAATCCGAAACGTATGTTCTAGGACAAATTATATTCTTAAACGTAAATCGACAATTGCAATTTCTGGTCAAATTGCATGAACAATTTAGAATATAGGCTTTCCTGATAGACGAAATCCAAAGGGATCTCCTCACAAATTCCCCCTATTACCCTATCCGTGGTAGTCTAACCAAAAAGAATTACTAAACCTCAACGTTTCTACCAGTCAGCGTCTCCTTCTTCACAGTAAATCAATGATTTGTGTGTCACACTTGAGAATTAGGAGTTTCTTTTCCATTATAATAACGTTTACACGCGATGTTCGAGTGGGAATTTCGACACTGTACGGAGAATTGGGGTAATCTTTTCGAATGTCGTTGTCTAGCCCGAAGAGTTGATCACTAGAATGGCGAATGGATCTCCTCAGAGTCAATATTCCCACCCAATCGCTGGTCTGAGAGGGAAAATCGAGCGAATGTGAACTCTAACTTTGTGTTCCTTTGACAGACGATTCACGGAATGCTGACAAATCTGCATAACTCCATCAGAGAGTCGGGCACCGAAATGTCTCCGTCCGAGAGAGCAGCTCTGCAGATCCTCTGCGAGAATCAAGTGCCGCTGCAGTGGCGCAAGCTTTGGTTAGGACCTCGTCTGGCCACTGAGTACATGAAAGCCGTGTCCGTGCGTGCTCACGAGGCCGAGAGGCGCATGCAAGCACGCGGCGCCGCATCCGGTTGGCCAGAAGCGATTGACTTCGCGACGGTGTTCAGCTTGGAGAGCTTCCTGGCCAGTTTGAAGCTCGCCACAGCACGCAAGCGCTCCACGTCCACGTGTCACCTCACCTTCCACGCGACCTTCGATGTAGGCGAGACTCTGGAGGAGCCCAGCGTCTCCGTGGCACCCCTGCTAATCGATGGCGCCGCCCTGCGAGGTGGCCGCCTGGCGTTCGCGTCTAGACGCACCGACGACACTCGCACGCCACACTTTCGCATCACGTACACGAGCGAGGCGGCAACAGGTGGTGCTTCAGCCGGAATCCCCATTCCACTGTACGCCAACTCCAACCGGGAGCGCGCTCTCGGCAGGATTGCAGTCGCCACGGCGGACGCAGAAGCTCCCGACGCGCTGGCCACATACGCTGGCGTCGCACTCGTGGTGCCAGACGCTCCCCTCTAAAGCACATTCGCACCGATTTTCCCCCCAATTTCGCCAGAGGTTCACACAAAACTCAGGCTCTTCTGCGAAACGTCAATTCACAGTGCTCCACCTCTCGATGGGCGTGGCTTGTGAGTAGGCGGAGCCTTGCAAATTGCCCTCCCACTGCAAAAGTGCCTAAATTCATCCCCACGCGCTCATTGTTTCCACTATATTACGCCTATATATCAAATATGAGTAAAGTATGAAATATTACAAGACTTTCATTTACCACTTTTTTCTCTTCTCCATAATATAGTTACAATGTCACTATGAAACAACATGAAATTCAGTGGATTATTCAATAAATTCTTGATTATTTCCAGTTGTATTTTGTTATCCCGTTTTACAAACTCTTTGTCACAAATATGCATCAATGTTACAAGAAATGGAAAAACAAGAAATATATAAGTTTTGACGACAAAAACAAGAGTTTCATGTCAGTGTACAATATTATTATACATCCTCTTGCTTTCTGCTCCATCACTATTATATCCATAATTTACTTCTTTTACACGCTAAAATGCAGCTTTTTATATTCGTTTTTAATCATGAATCTTCTGTATTTGTTTTCAAAAAGACAGCTATTTCTAAAAATGTTATGATTTGCCTCTTCATCATGTTTTTGTTTCAGTTAAATTGATTTATAGTAATTTCATCTTTAGAAAGACGCGTGGCTGGATTATTGGATGTTTTATTACCTCTTCTCATTTCACACATTTACCAAAGATTTCTTTTTACCTAATTCTCGTATTTTTCTCCATTATTAAATTCCATTTTACATTTATCAATTAATCACTTCCTAAATAATTTCATTATAGGTTTAATTTTTAATTTTAACGTGATTTATCAAATATACACTTAAAAATGTTTCACTTTATGATATTTTTAATCCCTTACCATTCATTTTAAAGTATTTAGAGGGTTTTTCTCTTCTTCTCCTTCATTCTCCCGAGAGCTTAGCAGTTTGCTTCGCACTTTAGCGATTATCTTTTGTTAATGAATAATTTATTTCTTTTGAAAATAACACTCGCACGTTGCTGTCCTTCCTAATTCACCAAATTCTCTCTTCAATTACAGTTAATTATAAGGTATTTTTAAGTCTTAGGGCCGAGGGACTAAACGGACCTGCAAAAGGCAAAAAACAAATTATGAGATTTTGACGAAAAAAAAACACTATTCACATCAAAACTCACCCTCATACTAAAAAATCTTTGCCCAGCTCTCATGTTGTCGCTCACATCATCATTTATCAGAATATTGATTTAATAATAGTAGTTAATATGGATAATAATTGTTATTCCATATCTTCTCTCTCATCCTCCTTAAATGTGTAATTTTTCCTTATCATCCCTCGCGTTTAGTAATTATGCATCCTCTCTGATTTTTCCCTCAGTGCCTTCCTTTTGTATTCCTTACGAAAACTATTTCACATTCCGCATGTCATTCACGACACTCTGCCCACGAATACGTATCGACGATCTCCGTTCGGGCGTGTCATATGGTCGCGAGGAATTTGTCGGCTCCTCCATTGTGTTGGTGGTCATTTGGGTGCGTTTCGCTCCGCCGCCGCCGCCCTCGATCTCCTCATTGGGCCCGGCCGTGCTGCGTGAGCCGCCTTTGCAAGTAAACTCAGCATTAGACAAGGATCAAGGCTCACTTAAGAGCTCTCACCACCACAGAGAAAGACGCACAGCAACACCAAATGATTCATTTGAGCGTCCAAAGTGCAACAGATACAAGCAATGACAGAAATAATGAACTAATGATTGTGCTAAATTCAATATAAAGTCTAAATTAAAATAAGGAACAATAAGCAATCAATATCAAAGGCTCTATATAATTGCAACTTGGAATGTAGAATAGGTGTAACAGTTGCAAATTAATGATTTTGGTCTAAAAATACGACAATAGAAATATAAATTAAAACAATCACACAGAATACTTTGCGTCAGTAAATCAACAGTAGGAAGAATTTACAATGTTTAGGAAAGTGATTGAATTATTTGAAAGCTCTTTAACGCGCTCACGATAACTATTATTTTAGTTTTTTGATAGATCTTGATTATGCAGTGAACGAAAATATATTTTTGGGGAACATTTCTTTGTCTTGATGTGAAATGAAGTGAATAAATAGAAAATGTCACGCATATTTTACATAATTTACTATTTTCTATCGTGCCAATTCCCAAATCTAAAGTCATAATAGTCAGTCACTTAAATAGCATATTGTTCGACACTAATTTTGGAATAGAATCTCATCTTCTGGTATATTGTGCGATAGGCAGGACACACAGCGTTTTGTTCCACTTCTTTCACGCCTCTTAAGCATTACATTTTGCAACTAAACAAACGCTTGTCTACACAAATAAAACGTGCAGATATGAAGCAGACACCTGTGCTAGAGACGCACAGTGGCTTTATCAAAACAATCAATATTTAAGGTGAATGTAGAAATGAATGCATCCATTTCACACATCGCCAAATCACACACAGCAAAAAACAAAAACAAGAAATTAATTATCATTTCAACTCACCAAACTTCAGCATGTTCCAATCGAAGACGTAATCATAGGTGAATCCTTGCCTATGGAATAGTGTCCTAAAGAGTTTCCGCAGATAGCAATAGTCGGGCCTCTGTTCAAAGTGCAATTGTCGGCAGTATGTGAGATAGGTGGGAAATTCAGCAGGGAATCCCTTGCACAATTCCTCAATTGGCGTCGAGAGCTTCTTCTCCGAAATCCTCTCGTACTTCTGTCGCTTGTTGGCCGCCTTCAGTCCCTGCCACGGCAATGTACCCAAGTTGAAGTACATGAGAACATATCCCAGCGACTCCAGATCATCGCGCCTCGACTGCTCGATGCCCAAATGCGTATTTATCGACGCATAGCGGGCAGTTCCAGTCAAATTCTTGTTCTCTCTGTACGGTATATGTCGCTGTGTACGTGTGTCACGGTACTTCTTTGCCAAGCCAAAATCGATGATATACACTAAGTTACCCTTCTTGCCCAGGCCCATGAGGAAGTTGTCCGGCTTGATGTCACGATGAATGAAGTCCCTCGAGTGGATGTAATCAATGCGCGATATCATTTGATCAGCGAGCAACAGAACCGTCTTCAGAGTGAATCTGTGGAGCAAAATGAAAATATTTTGTCACACTTATAAATCAAATTAGTCAGCCAAGAAGAGCGCTCTCTTATCAATACTCCTCTATCGATAAGATTGTCTATCATTTTGTTGTATTGCAATTGTCACAAAAACAAACAAACAAACAAACACAAGTTTTTCTCTCACCTCCGCGAGCAGAAATTGAAGAGATCCTCAAGCGATGGTCCCAAAAGTTCCATCACCATCACGTTGTAATCGCCCTCGGAGCCACACCATTTAATCCGCGGTATGCCAACTGCAAGAGGCAAAAGGAAAACAAGAGTGAGACACACATTTCTGAGATGCATAAATATACACACAACATTTTATGGATTATGCAACACAGTCTCGGATTAACAATGCTATATAATTTTCAATTTATACACTTGTGTCTATGTTGAGGTTTTTGTATCGTTCTTTTTTTCGTTTCGCCGCTCTTGTCTATTTTTCGCCTTCTTCTCCACCTTCTCTCTGTCTCTCTCTTTATGAATTTTCAACCATACACAAAAGAGGAAAATCTCGCGCTAGATCACATATTTTTTGCAATGAAAAAAAAAAAAGTTTTGAAAACAAAGCCTTTCATGTTGTGTACATAAGTGAAAAGATGGCAGAAAAATATGTGCATTTCCCCAGAGCATCGACGATGCAAATTAAATCAAGAACTCCTCTTCTTGACCAGCGTGTAAAAAACACACGGATGTAAGTTTGCCTGTCCAATTGATTTAATTACATGCCATTTACAATCAAATAAAGCATCGATACTCGCGCGAGATCCAATAAATATCGACTTAATAATGCAAAACATTGAGACTTGTATCTCTCCATGCCTGATTTACATGAATGAACACACAGTGATAGCAAGAAACGATTGATGTATGCGTTCATATGTAATTGCAAAGCAAGAATTTTCATTGTACACGGTAAATTGTGTCGTGATACTCTGAGAACACTCCAAAATACATTTTTTATCATGTTGTTGAACTAATTTTAGCAAATTCCGTGATGTAAAAATAAAGTCTCTCACTTTTTTTTTCTTTTGTGGTGACACACAAAAGTTACGTAGATACAATAATAGACATTTTATTCGTTGTCTTTAATTAATATCTCTAAATGCTTTGTTTACGTCTCGTCGAAACAAAAAGCAGAGAAAATGTTAAACAACAAGTAGCTGGAAACGAAAGCACTTGCCAAGAAGTTATATGAATTCATCAAAAGAATAAGTAAAATAAAATGTATACAATATCAGCAAGAAACTTTAACCCTTTAACGACGACTGTCAAATAGTTTGGCAGACATAAGAAGCTTCCGGAATTGTAATTCTACTTTTAGAGTTCAAGGAAAAACACTTGACCACGTTTTATTGTTATTCTAAGAATAATTCACACTTCAGAAGATATCAAAAATTCCTCAGAAGCGGAAAGTCCAAAAACCACGAATTCTTATACATAAAAATTTAATTAATCAAGAAAGTAGAGTAATCATAAATTCTTGACGAGCATGAATGTCTTTTAAGCACTTATTCAGCCTCCTCGTTTGAATTTCTTGTAGGATTGCTTTAGTGTCGAAAGCTTGATCGAAACAAATTCTCAAATGCAGTAATTAGTAACTATTGAAAAATCTATACTTTAGTCAATATTTCAATTGTTTTATGTACTTTCACATTCAAATTGTAGTATTTTCATTTTTTTGCAAAAGTTAAATATGATTTAACACTTTTTGTGACCGAGAAAGAATTATTAAATACTTAATATCGCAAGTCTTTATCACAGTGAAATCTTTATGTTTTCTTAATTGCCCTTCAAAAGAGCCCCACTGTGCCCTAACTGTGAAAATCAATCACTTCTTCGCCTCTTGCAATGGAATGTGCTCTGTTTATCTGTGACATCTCGCAGCCTAATGATTTTCTTTGACAAAACCTAGGCAACACTCGCATTGTTTACAATTTGCCAACAAACCCGACAAGGATTTGTCCATGGGAGAAGACAGCATTTGGCCCCCGTTTTCCACCTCTTTCATTGACTCGTTCTTGCACGAGGTGACACGCAATCAAATTGAAGAGAGCCCCGAAAAGAGGTAAGAAAAAAGAGCCAGCAAAACAGGCGCGAGAGCGAGAAAAAAGACTATCTCTCTGGTGATGAAGAAGTAAGGTCTTCTCGTGAAGGAAGAACACGGCGCCAGAGCAACAATTTTTTCCCATTGCCTCACTCTTCGCTGATCCACAAATACGCAAAACACTCAAATTCAAATGAGTAAGAGACACATTTCTATGCAAATTCCTCGCAGTTATTCTGCCAATCAACCATCCTAGCACAGCACAGTTCAATTCCATTCATGAATGATCCTCGCGCGAGCAGTGAAAAGAGGAAAAAAAAGGGTTGAAGAAGCATTCCAAGTGTACTGCTAACAGGTTGAACTTAATCTCTTTCTCTCTCTCCTTCTCGCTTTTATTGTCATTCACAAGAGCCTCATTCTTTTATCGCCTTCCATCAATGACACCTCTTTCGGCCACTCTCTTGTTACTCTGTGTGCCTTTCCGGATTGAGACAATCGACAGAGAGAGAGGCAGAGGTCATCCGGCAGTTCTGCAGCCTTCAGATCCACCCTCAGCAGCGCATTCACGATGCCCTCATCACACCCACAGAACATACAACCTGACCATCTCTGCACTCACAATGGAAATTGCAAGCTGAGTGTGGAAAATGAAGGTAAAAACTATGACGACTATTGCGCCCACACCCTTTCCCAGCCACACTTTTGCATCACACAAACTCCAGAGCGTGAGCGAGACAGAGAGCAGTGTCTCTCACTCTCCAGGTGCATTCACGTAATCGCGCCATACACAAGAGTGTGTATATTTTGTGTGACAACAGCCCAAAGGCAGTGTGCAGGAAAAGCGACGGAAAAGCGAACAGACGGAACACAAAAGGAAAATCAAGTGACACTCCAGGGAATAATGAAAAAATATAACTCACGCTGCTTGAGCGCAAAAACCCTAGCAAAATACCAACAAATTGGGTCATCTCTCCTCACATTTGATTAATGATTGTGATAAGAGTTGAGAGAAAAAGTGGCAAAATTTTCACTCGATAATCCACAAACCGCACAAAAATATGTTTTTTTTTTCTTCTTTCTTCTTCTTTATCAATCGGAAAAACGCGCAACTCAAGATGAGATACGGGGAAAAAAGAGAGAAGAGAGAAATGATGTGAAAACAAATAATATTAAAGAGCAGCGCAGAATTTTTAATTAAGAAAAAAGCTTCTAAAACTCTCCCTCACTTGAACTTAATTATAAACTTGGCAACTCCTTGCCATACTTCGCTCCCAATTGTCAGATAATTTCAGGAGGAATATAATGTATTACGGCTTTTGCAAAGAGTTTTTCAACAAAAGACTTCTTAGGTTTTCCTCTTCTCCACTCGAGAGATATTCAAGTGCTAATAAATATGTAAACAGGGATAGAGGAGTAAAAGTGAGAAAATCCTCATAGTTTCAACAAGTAAACATTAAGTGATTGAGAAATATTGGTCAAAGCTTTTGCTAACCCACTTATCAAATCTTCATATGTGAATAGCAAACTTAAAATATGTCTTGAAAGCCATAGAATGTTCTAAAAGTGATAATTGCCTCAATTTTAAAATTACTTTGAAAAATAGAGCTTTTCCAGCAATCTTACATTAGTTTCCTCGCAAATATCTTATGGTGTGTCTATACTATATAATTTACGATAGCTAAAGCCAATTGCCAAGTATCAATAATGAATAAGGCACAAAATGAACTTCACAATATTACGATACAATAATAAATGCTTCTGTCTCTAAAAAGTATCAGCTCTAAAAGAGAAATTGACCTTTGACTAGTAAAAAGTGTTGATTCCTACTGATTTGTTCACTCTTTTCCTTCAGACTTATTCGAAGCATGCTAAAAGATCAACGATTTGGCAAAAATGTGCAAGTTCTAAAAAATTGAACAAAGATTCATTACAAATACAATTTTACAGTTTTTATTTTTGTCTTTCTATGAATATTATGCAATAAAATGCTATTTACCGCCTCTCAAAGTCATATGCAACCGTAAGCATTCAAAATGTCACTTTACTCAACTGAACCAAATAAACTTATTGTTATCAGAAATCAGTTATACGCTCTTAGTCCGTTTGTCCCATTTCGAGTTCTAATAAGAAAATTGAAAGAGTAAAATGTCACCATTCTGTACCAATTGCAATCAGTGTGCTGATAAATTTCTTTTGTGGGCCACAATGTCACTCACTTTCTAGATAAACACTTTGCTGATTGCATTCATAACTGAAGCCCCTCTTTCAGAGTCTACAATTAGGCACTGAAAGTGGCCTAATCACTGTAAAACAGGTATTTGGTCTCGAAATTCTCATTTGACCTCTTATCGCCATCAGAGGATCAGCAGTTTTGCGCTGGACGCTTTGCGATGCTCCTCAATCTGGGAGCATCGCCAGAGGTCACCTGATGAGGGTGGCTTCCGCGTGTCTCGTGTCAGACACGTGCTAGAAATCACTCTGGCCATAAGCACAAAGGAGTGTACGATCTGGGAAAGCTGTCTTACCTCCGCCTTGCATGATTCTGTAGAATTTGCTCTCTATGTGCAGTTGCGGGTGCTTCGTGCGGATGCATTCTAGCTTGATGGCCACTTCCTCGCCCGTTGAGATCGTCGTGCCTGCAAAGGGATGCCAAGAGTGGCACTTTAGCGAGCGTTTCCCGGACAAGGGCATGAGACTTCGCGGAGGAAAACACAAAGAGAACAGGCCAAAGAGGATAAAAACACCTAAATCTCACCTAAATAGATGTCCCCAAAGGATCCCGAGCCGATCTTCCGTCCCAGGCGATACTTGTTGCCCACTCTGAGCTCCATTTCCGCGAGAAACTGCGATGCTGGACAAGTCCTTCTGGCAACCACGATGAGGAAGAAACACCCAAAAAATACGGAAATTAACCACTTCAGCACCACTTTACGCACAAAATCCTGCCTCTACCACAACACCCCGACAATGGGGCGCTGGAAAAGGCCCAGAAAGTGGCCGTGGACTGTGAAAAAGGCTCACCTCTTTTGTTGTGTGGATTTTCCAAGATGTCAGGTTGGTTTTTTGGTTTGGGCAGTCGAACAATGCCTCTCAAACAATCTGCTCAGCGCACAGCCCCGAGAAAATGCACAAATTCCGCTCAAGCATGGGCATATATCGCATGGCCAACTATCATAACGTGATTAACATACTCCACTTGGTTGTTTTATGCACTTTTCCGCTATTTCAGATGTCTTCTACTGTGCAAAAATCCAGCCAAAAGTCCACTTGTCAATTTCACAATTGCTCATCCACCATTTTCGAGAAACACACACGCACGCACACACGCGCAACGCCTGTCAGCCAGTCGGTGAGGAATCGATTAATTCATCGCGCACCTCCGCAGCGCCAACAGCAAGCAAGAGAGGAAGCTCAACCAGGAAATGTTTTTCACTTTTCATCCAGAAAATCTGTAAAATCAAACACTTTCCCACATTTCATTACAGGAAATAGACTAATCCAAACTGTTGGCAAATGAATCTCAAGCAATTCAATGTGAAATTTCAATTTTGATCGCGATTGATCTCTTCGCCGCTACAGCGCTGCTCTGCACGCGCCAAAACCACTAAATTGAGGTTAAACATGCTTCCTGCCTTTATTCTCTGCTTTTCACACTATACATCCGACTGCTCACTCCTGTCCAGATTCCTCACAGTCGTACTGGGTCCTTGGAGCACCTTTCGTGACAACCTCATGTATCCCGACACGGGATCTCGCCCGAAGTACTTCACTTGAATCTCCTGGCCAACTTCCAAGCCCAAAACTGATGGATGAGCAATCTTTCGCTGGTCCAGCTGTGAGTTGTGAAGCAGTGCAGGTGGCATTGAGGGATACAGAGTCACCATCACCCCAATATCCTTAACATCCACAATTTTGGCAGTGTAAATTCCGCCAAACTCCAAATCTGGCACTTTATCCGCTTTCAGAAATTCTTCAATAACTTCCCGAGCCTCATCCATCGCTGCCAGTGAAGGTGCGAATAGGGTGAAACTTGTCTCTGTCTCTGCCGAGAGTTGGGCTCCAGTTTGCAAGTAAATCTTCCGGATGTTCACGCCTCCAGGGCCGATAAGTTTGCTTCTCTGATGAGGCTCAATAGTGATCTTGTCGCTTACAGGCCAGCTGTCCTTCTTCACACGTCTCGCCTCAGAAAGTGTCAGCTTCATGATGTCCAGGATCTTCCCTTTGGCATCTGTCGCTTTCTGCAGCGCCTCCATCATGACTTTCAGTGGCAATCCAGGAATCTTAAGATCCACCTGAACTGCAGTTACGCCTTTTCTCGTTCCCGCCACTTTCATATCCATGTCTCCCATATAATCCTCGATGCCCAGCAGATCTGTCAGCAGTCTGTAGTCCTCCAGGTGCTTCGTGTCATCCTGCTGATATTTCGTGACCAGGCCAATAGCCACTCCTGCCGCTGGAGCACTCACCGGAACACCGGCATCCATCAGAGCCAGAGATCCTCCGCACACGCTCGCCATCGAACTGGATCCGTTACTCTCCAACACTTCGGACGTGAGACGAACCGTGAACGGGAAGTCACTGGGCAACGTTGGCAACAGACCTTTCTCCGCCAGTGCTCCATGGCCCATTTCTCTGCGCCCAATCGGCCCTAAGCGTCCAATCTCGCCAGTGGCGTAAGGCGGGAATTCATAGTGCAGGAAGAAGTTCTTCGCCTTAGAGCCGGAATCCAGAGCTGCAAGCGTATCCAGTTTCATCGCACTCTCCTGTGAATCCAGAGCCACTGTGCAGAATACCTGCGTCTGGCCGCGCTGAAAGAGCGCAGATCCGTGAAGAGGCTTATGAAGATCAATCTTGCAACTGATGTTCCTCAAATCATCCAATCCTCGTCCATCGCAACGTAGATTCCTCTCAAAAATCAGCTCCCTGAACACTTCGCGACAGTACTTTGAAAACGTACCCTCAATCTGATGGACATCAGCGTCCGGAAAGTCACTCCTGACGCTCTCCAAGACATTCTCTCGCAGCACATTCACTGCTGTGTCCCTACTAATCTTGTCATGCGTCTCATCCCTGAAGATCTCCCTCAATTTGATCTCACACGCTAGCCGGATGGCCTGAACAATATCATCAGACACTTCTGGAGGCGAGTCCAGCGTTCGCTTCGGTCTTCCGTGAGTCTTTTGAAGCTTTTCAATGCAGTTTATCACGTGCTGCGCTTCCCTCGTGCCCTGCTTAATTGCCTTCTGGATGTCATTGAGTAGGACGATGTCTCCCTTTCCCTCCAACATAACCACGAGGTTCTGTTTAGTTGCTGACACCACCAAATCCAGGGAAGATGCCTGCAATTCCCGCCTTGTGGGATTCACAATGATCTCATTGTCGCACAATCCCATCCGCACGGCCGCCACTGGGCCGTTCCACGGGATATCACTCACACTGAGCGCCGCTGAAGCGGCATTCACCGCACACACGTCCGGAAGATTGACATGATCGACTGCTAGGAGATTGCAGACAATTTGCGTTTCATAGCGAAAGTTTGGCGAAAATAATGGCCTGACCGAGCGATCTATCAGCCTGGCAGAAAGGATCTCCTTCTCCGATGGTCCCATCTCGCGTCTCAGGAAGTTCGTGGGAATGCGTCCGGCAGCGGCTGACTTCTGCCTGTAGTCCACAATGAGAGGCACAAAGCCTCCACTCGAGGGCTTCTGCTTCGCCACCGCAGTCACCATCACAGCTGTGTCCCCCATCTCAGCCAGAACGCTACCATTGGCGAACCTGGCATACTTCCCTGTGGTCAGGCTCAGCGTTCGACTGCAAAACAATAATAATAACAGGAAATTGCCTAGCCGGCACAACATAACCCGACTTCCACTCACTTGTTGGAGAAAACCGCCTCGACAGTCACTTCCTCGGCTTTTGTGTTGAAGCACCGCCGCGAGTGCTTGCATTTTCGCACTTTTCTGTGAAACAAGTTGCCAATGAGGCAGGATTTCCAGGGATTCACGGAGGAGCGGGTGCGCTGCCCGAGTTTCAGCATCGTGACACTTCGCCGTACTTCGCCGCCATTCCTATTGCGAATTCATACAGGATGGAATTGAAGCAAGAAATGTCCATTGAATTCTCCTTCTTTCACTCTAAATTTAAATAAAATCAGCTTCTAGACTTCTTCACTCTTTATACATACATTTAGATATTGCACGAATAATGAATAACATTTTAATCCTGCTTCTCTATGCTTTCTTATTTTATGCGAATTTGCGAATTCAAGTGTGAATCTGTTCCCAATGTGGGATTATCTGACGCCAGTCTAATAGAAAATCCAATAAGATTCTCAGTCGGGTTGTTACCGTGTTGCTGGTGGTTTGGAGTGGAAAATGTAGAGCCGGAGAGGCACATTTTCCGGCCTTTTGCGCACTTTTCTCTCTATTTTTCCCTCCAGCAGTGTGTTTTGGAATGCCATGGCATCGAAGCAGAGCAATCGCGACAGACAAGACAGTGAATTCGAGGTGATTCAGGTGAGAAAGTCTCATGCAATCCTCCAGGAGGTTTTCTCACTCTTCCGGAACTTGTTTCAGTCGATCTTCGGCCAGGACGTTGAGGATTTGCGCGAGAAGGGACAAGGATGGAAGCCGCTGGACTTGAAGCTGACACTCACGCCCCTGATGGGATCCTCAGGAGCCACAGAAGCTCACGTCCGGACAACCCTTCACATCATATGCACAGCCAAGTACCCCAAAATGTGAGCCTGTGTGGGCGCAAATCGATCCCACTAATGGTGTTTTCGTGTTCTCGATAAGCTAAGATAATCTCTGTGTCTCGACAGATCGCCCAAATTGGCTCTAGAAGATAGCAAAGGCCTCTCGGATGTGCTCATTGAGGATCTGCTGAAGAGCCTGCAGAAGCAGGCAGTGGAGCTGAAGGGCGAGGTGATGGTGTTCGAGCTGGCCGAGACAGTGCGTGCCTTTCTGCACCAGCACAACAAACCGCCTCCGGGAAGCTTTTACGACGAAATGCTGATGCAGAAGCTGAAGCGCGACCAAGAGCGGCTTAATTGCCAGCGCATGAAGGAGGATCAGGAGCAGCAGGCGCTGAAGGATGAGGTGAATAAGCGCAAAGAGATGCTGAAGCACGAGTCGCGCATGCGGAAGGACACCAGGAGGAGTATTAGTGAGTCCAGCCCGACTCACCATGGAACGCCCACCTCGTCGGACGTGTCGGAGTCCTCTTGGCCACACTTCCGCAGCTACATGTATCCCAACGAGTGCACTGACCACCGCAAGTCAGAGATCATCTACTTCCGGGGCGCCGGAAGGCAGATACAGAAGGGCTGTTGTCTGGGACACTCGCAGAAGGGCTGCGTCGCGTACTCCGGCATCGATCTGGAGACTGGACAGCTGCTCTACATCACGGAGTGGAACATCAAGTACAGTCGGTTCGAAGCTAAGGGCGCCGATGGCAAGGCCGATGAGATAATAGGGAATATCGAGAAACTGGTGGCGAATCTCTCGCAGCTGCGGCACAAGAATCTGATTAGCTACGAGTGCGTGCTGTGCATGAAGAAGAAGGAGGGCATTCTCGTGTACTTGGTGCAGGATTTCGTCCTCGGTACGAGTATCTGCACGATCTCTGGCACACTGGGATGGTGCGCCGAGGGCGCCAGTATGGTGGCTAAGGGCGTGCTGGACGCAATCATATTCCTGCACAACAATTCCGTCTTCCACAATCATCTGCTGGACACGACAGTTTTCATGGACAACACTGGAACTATCAGAGTAACGGATTTCGCACTCGTGCCGTACTTGCAGGAACTTATCGGCTGCTCAAGTCCCACAAAGAGCGATCTTCCCGCTATGGGCGCTCTGCTGGAGGCTCTTTTGCCCACGCACACGTCAAACATGCGAGACTACATCGAGAGATGTAAATCGGATAGGACTCTAAGTGCAGTTGAACTCCTGCCGCACCCTTTTCTGCAACCGGTGCTCTTCAGCGATGCCGGTGGAGTGGAAAATACTGTGGCTGCAATTGTTGCGCCGCCAAGAGAGCGTCAGGAACTTCATTCCACAATCTCCACTGTCCAGTCGCGGCTGCAGAATGAGTTTGAGTTCCTGCAGTTCCTGGGCAAGGGCGCCTATGGCGATGTACTGAAGGTGCGCAACATTCTGGACAACAGGCAGTACGCCATCAAGAGAATCCCGCTGACGGCGCGGAACAAGCAGCTGTACAAGAAGATCCGGCGAGAAGTGGAGCTCCTCTCGAGGCTTAATCACGAGAATGTCGTGCGATACTACAACAGCTGGATAGAAATTGGCCTGCCGAGTGATGACTTTGGCCAGGACAAGCTCGCCGGCGGAGATTTCAGCATCAGCATCCCCGAGAGCAAGAAACAGGCGCAACTGGAGTCCTCCTCAGAGTCCTCGAGCGACTCCAGTGACTGGATCAACTACATGCCCAACGCCACAGCGGATCTCAGCGATGGCATTGAGTTCGTCAACTCGGACGGTGAGTGCGTGGAAGTGGAGGACTTCGGGGATGAGAGTGTCTCGAGGGCACGGCCGGAATCACGCAAGTCGCCGCACTTTGAGAATCAATTCATGTACATTCAGATGGAGTTCTGCGAGAAGAGCACACTTCGCACGGCGATTGACGCTGGCCTGGGCAGTGACACGGATCGCCTCTGGCGCCTCTTCCGCGAGATCGCCGAGGGACTGTCACATATCCACCAACAGGGCATGATTCATAGAGATCTGAAGCCTGTTAATATCTTCTTGGACTCGCGCGATCAGGTGAAGATTGGGGACTTTGGCTTGGCCACGACGAGCTTCCTGGCGCTGCAGAGCCAGGAGCAGAATGCCTCGAACACACTTACGCAGTCGGACATGGGAGACACGCTGACGGGACGCGTCGGAACAGCGCTGTATGTGGCGCCAGAGCTCATGGGAAATGCCTCAAAGTCCACTTACAATCTCAAGGTGAGTGAATTTTAACAATTTTCCGCTAAAAGCTTTCTCATTGAATTTGAGAAAGCTTCCATTGGAGTTGTAGGAGAACATAGATAAGATATGAATGAATCTAGAAATTGGGTTGATGTAACAACAATCATGTTATTCAATGCTCTTTTATGCTAAATTGTGGATTTTAGATGAAAGTTGGACAAAAGAAAGAATCATAGCAACTATGAAGAAATTCTCTGATTTAAACATATTTGATCGAATTCGACTTTAGACATTCTTTCTTGCCTTTTGTCTTCTAGGTTGATCTCTATTCGCTCGGAATCATTCTCTTCGAGATGAGCATCCCAGCTTTTGACACAGCCATGGAACGCGTGAAGACCATCGCAGCGCTGAGATCTCCTGCAATTGTCTTTCCAGACTTCATGACCAAGGATAAGAAGTACTCTCAACACATTCAAGTGGTTCAGTGGCTTCTGAATCACGACCCGGCAAAACGACCGTCATCTGAGGAGCTCCTGACGTCAGATCTTGTGCCGCCTGCGCGACTGGAGGCGACAGAACTGCAGGAGATGCTGCGGAATGTCCTGGCCAATCCGCAGAGTCGCACGTACAAACATCTGGTGTCGCGGTGCCTCTCTCAGCAGAGCGACACAGTGCTGGAGCTCACATATCACTTGGGTTTGGTTCCCATTTCCACCACGATGGAGTTCGTCAAGGTGAAATTGTGATTTATCTAAAAATCTGTGCGGTTCGATCAACTCTGATGCGCTTTCAGGGAAAAATTCTAAATGTTTTCAAGAGGCACGGAGGAATAGAGGTGATTACGCCACTGCTGACGCCACTGGGGAAGGGCCACCCACACACAAACTCTGTAAAATTGATGACACATTCCGGTGAGTGGAAATTCCTGCAATTCACTGGGGCAAAAGCACTCTCTAGACTTCTGTTGTGCTCTTTGCAGGAAGTGTTGTTTACCTGCCTTATGATTTTCGGCGGCCTTTCGCGAGTCATGTAGCAGTGAATGGGATCACATCAATCAGGCGCTACTCAATTGGTCGGGTGTATCGCGAGAAGAAAGTGTTCAACTTCCATCCCAAGCAACTCTATGAGTGTGCTTTTGACATTATATCGCAGAATACGGGAAACTTCCTGCTGGACGCCGAAATAATCTCGGTGGCTTATGAGATTTCAATGGAATTGACGGTGCTGCGGGAGAAGAATGTCTTCTTCCGGCTGAATCACACGAGTCTCTTGCGCGCCATTCTCCTTCACTGCAACGTGCCGAAAGACAAGCAGCACACACTCTTCGTGGCCATTCAGGACTTCATGGAGTCCAAACTAGCCAAATTCCAGCTCACGTCAACGATTAACAGTATCTTCGCCAGCGCAAAGCACAATGCGAATATGCTGATTGATTTGCTGGTCACAGAATCACCGCTTGGCGGTCCGCGTGGCAGCATCAATGGCAGTGCGCTGAGGTCTCTGGTCAAGGGGCGCGGAGAGGCGGCTGCGCTGGCGAAGGGAGCAATTCGCGAGCTGGAATCTGTGGTGCAGTTGGTACAGGGAATGGGTGTGTCGTGTCCGATGATCCTGCAGCCGGGATTGTCGATAGGCTTCGACAGAGCGCGCTCGGGTGGAATTGTGTGGCAAATGGTGGCGGAACTGAAGAAGTCGCGCAAGCGAGGACCGGACGTTCTGGCCGTTGGCGGGCGATACGACGATCTCCTGGCGGACTTCCAGAAATCGGGCTCTGGCTGTGGAATTATCATGCCACCCAAGAATATCTGTGGCGTTGGATTCTCTTTTGCAATTGACAAACTCGTGAATTGCCTGAGCTCCAATCCCACCAGCGAGTATCGCTCCATCGACGTGGTGCTGTGCGTGACTGGCTATCGTCCACCGATTCAGGATGTCACGCAAATCCTGCGCTGTCTGTGGACGATGGACATCAAGAGTGGCATCGTGGAGGCCTGCAATCAGGAGGAGGCCGAACAGTCAGCCAAAGATCTGGGCGCCGCGCATGTAATCCTGCTGGGCGAGGGTGGAACGTTTAGGGTGAGCTCGTGGGACAACAGGATCTTCAAGGATCAGCAAGTGAGTCGAGCTGAGCTGATGGATTATCTGCAAAAGATACGAAATCCACCTGAAAACAACCTCAGCGACAGCTTCAATTCCTCCCAGATGAACATGAGTGCGGGCAACGCGAGCGTGAAGGGTAACAATTCGTCGTGCTTCACGAATATTGAGGTGTTTTTCATGACAATCGAGAAGATGGCCAGTCACGCGAAGAAGCGCATCGAGAATCAGCTGCTGCAACTCATGGCCAGCACGCTGAAGCTCTTCGCGAAGAAGGAGAGAATCCGCGTGTACGCCGTCGATCTGCCGATGAGTGCCTTAGGACTCTTCGTGGGAACTCTGGATCCACGAGATTTTGCCACACGTCCGACAGATGATGAGATTCCCAGGATCATCGAGAGGTGAGTCAATCTTTCTTTACTATTGTGAACTTCGCTTCTTATAATCGGGCAAGGAAAATGAATGACTTTAAATAGCGTGAAGAACGATATTTATTCAAGAAAAAGAAAAACCATAAATTCATAAGTAATACAAAAGGTGATAAGATATTGGAAATGAAGTTTTCAAGTAACCTTCTTATTATTCAGTAGATTTGGGGTGGAACATAAAGTTGTGAAAATTAACGAAAATTCATACGAGTACTTCATATTAAGTGTTAAAGAGAACAAGATAATCTTTATCGTGATGAAAGATTGAATTATTTGTGAAGTTTCTTCTTAATAATTGTATAACGCACGAATCCTTGGGCATCCGGAAGCATTTCCTGCAATGTGATGTTCTTGTGTTTGGCGGCCACAAGTTTTGCCCATTGCATGTCGAAGTCGCCTTGAATCGCGTAAAATTCCCTCCTTTTGTCCTTGGAGCACAAGAAAGTATTCAGCACATGATCAAATGTTGCTTCAAAGATCTCCTGGCTTTTGCGAAATTCAGTAGAATCAACCAATCCGGGCGTAATTTTCGATCTAATACCCTCCAGCAAGGATTTGTCCAGGGCCTTAAAGTTGATTACCACATCATAGATCTCGTTGAGCATCTTGGTCTCCTGCTTGACCTCTGGAACTTCGCCCAAATACATACGAGCCACATCAAGATAATCTGTAGCATCCCTGTAACACTCTCGCAAACGCCAGGCTCGGCAGGCATGAAGACAGATTTTTCCCTTGAGAATATTTTCAGCAGGAACTCCAGTGTCCGTCAACTTTGCAGTGTAGGTCAGGAGCGCCGCGGCCGGTTCGTGAAGCCCAATCTTGACCAAAGTCATGCCGCAATTGAGACCCATCTTCACAAGAAGTTGCATTCGCTGATCATTTTCTTCTTTGGTCGTGGCCATGACATTCATCAGCAGAAGCAGAGAACTGATGTATTCGAAGGCAGCAGCACGATAGAATCCAGCGGAAAACGCTTCTTTTCCCTTCTCACGAAACTCCTGAACAGCAATGAGAGCCTGACTGAAGTGGCTGCGCATTCGAATTTCCTCCTTCTTCGTTATTGGCGTGGCCACAGACATGATCTCAATCTCCACGAGAACATTCTTGAAATTATCGGGATGATAGGCATTCCCTTCTTCCGCGTACAGACGCGGGATGATGAAGCGCGCCTTCTCTTGATTGCGCATTGTGCGCACGGCCTTCTCAAATCCCGGCAAGACTCCCATATTCCTGCCCAGGACGAACACAAATGGCTCCTGGGTGAGATACGATGTATCGGTTAATCCCGAATCTCCCTCAGTGAACGTTGAAAAATGGACGCCAACCATCTTTTCATTCTGCAACACTTCTCCAAATCCTTCAGACAGAGTTTTCTTGAACATTCCATTTCCCAAGTCCGTCATCTCGAGGCGCAGCTCATTGAAGTTCTTATTTGTCACAAATTCGCGCTTTAACTTCTCTATATAGAATTTAGTAACGAAAGTAACTTTCACGGCACTTGGCTTCATCTTGATCATTCGACTCTCAAGAAGGGGCTTCCCCGTATATACTCTGCAAAGAAACGCATAAAATTACCATTTTATTGTCAAGTTATCGTTCAATTCGTCTTTAAAAGGTTTACTTACGGCACCATCCAATTCATTGCCAGTGTCTCAAGAAAGCTCTTCATTTCTCCGGAGAAATTCATTTTCGCAGTTTCAAGAAACTTAAGAGAAAACCAATGCGATTACGCAAGTTCGCAATCGACTACACACTGCAATGGACTCCTTTTTCACTTTGCAGTGTCTTTCGACGTGCGTTGAATTTTCACACGAAGATTTTGGCAACACTTTTTGACCCGACTTTTAAAAAGCAACGATCTGCAGCAAAATTTCCACTCACTTTTTGATGCCCGTTTTCCAACTATTTCTGCTCGATTGTCCATCGACAGCCAGAGTCGATCTACTCGATATGATTTTGGCTGAATCAACAGAATATTGAATCGCTATTTCGAATTCCATCTTCTTGGCCGCAATTTGTTTATTTATTATTATTATTATTAGTTTTGTTTACGAGTTGTTTATCACGTTCGTCACATTCATCACAGAAGGGCTCGAAGAGTTCATCAAGACTTGAATTGAATTTCACAGAATAGTGCTGAAAATTCTATCAAAAAATGAGTCACAGCGTTTACAATCTTTACTTATAGGATAAGAATAAGAAGCTCACAAGAAAATGTGAATAATCAACTTCCAGTGAAAGTGAAGTGAATGAATCATTTTTGGAAAAAAAAGATAAAGAATTGATTGATGAGGAACAGTGATTTATTCAAGAAAAATAGCGCCAATTCATAAAAACACATTTCATGATTGATAATATGAAGTTATAGCAATTAATGAAAGCAATGAACGTGATAAGAAATTTGTCCATTGTTCGAAGTCCAGTTACTTCTTCGTGACAACATATCGCACATAATTCAGCTCCTCATTTAGATGCACTTTGAGTTTGATCCTCTTGTACTTGGTGGCCACGTCTTTTGCCCATTCAATGTCGAAGTTGCCGTGAACCGCAAAAAATTCCCTCTTGTTGTCCTTGGAACGCATGAAATCCTTCAGCATGGGGTCAAAAAGATCCTCAAAGAACTTTTGACTCTTGCTCAATGCAATAGGCGCCTCACTTCTGGGATACTTCGACTTGAACATATCGGAAATGGGTTTGTCGAGGGCAATAAGAGTCATGTATGTGTTGTAGAACTTGCGGAGTTCTTCGTGTTCTGCCTTGATTTCCGGAATGTCGCCCAAATAGTTGCGAGCTCTATAGAAATACTCCGTGGCTTCCTTGTTTTCGCGCTGCCAGCTCAATCGGAAAGCCCGGCAAGCATGAAGGCAGATCTTTCCCTTGAGGGTGTCTTCAGCTGGAACTCCATTGTCCGTTAAGGCATAAGCAAGATGCAGCACTGCTGAAGAAGGATCGTAAATGCCAATCTTGTTGAATGCTATGCCACAGTTGAGACACATTTGTACAAGAAGCTGCAGCCGTTGGTCGTTCTCTGAATGATTCTGAGCGATACTGTTCATAAGCAGGAGCAAAATACTGATGTATTCGAAGGCAGCAGCACGATAGAATCCAGCGGAAAACGCAGCTTTTCCCTTCCGACGAAGCTCTCGAATAGCGTCTAAAGCCATATTAAAGTTCGTCAAAAGACGGATTTTCTCATTCTCTGGTATATGCGTCGCCACTCTGACAATTTCAATCTCCACGAATTCATCCTTGAGATTATCGGGATCTTCAGCAATCGCTCCTTGGCTGTACATGCGCGGAATGATGAAGTGCGCCTTCTCTTGATTACGCATTGTGCGCACGGCCTTCTCAAATCCCGGCAACAAGTCCTTTTCCTTACCCAGGACGAAGATAACTGGTTCCTGGGCGAGATACGATGAATTGCTGAGTGTTGCATTGCCTTCTTTGTAGCTGGAGAAATGCAATGTGACCATTTTGTTGTTCTGCAGTACATCTCCGAATCCTTCAGTCAGAGTTTTCTTGAACAGTCCATTTCCCAAGTCCGTCATCTCGCGGCGCAGCTCATTGAAGCTCTTCTCCGGTATGAACTCACGCTCGAGGTTGTCCAAAAAGAAGGCTGTTATCACTTTCGGCTTTGGCGTTTGCGAAGACATCCTATGCAGCCGGCCTTCAACAAAAGGCTTCCCCATATATCCACTGTGTTATTGAAAATATTGCGGATATATTGGAATTTTCATCAGTGTTTCAACCGTTTCAACGCATTTTCCACAGGTTTACTTACGGCACATCCCAGGTGTTAGAAAAACTCTCCAAAATATCATTCAATTCCTTGAATAAGTCCATTTTTACTGCTGCGAGAATGTCAAGAAATTCAAGGGAAAAAACACCAGACAACTCCACAAATGGACAAATGGACGCAATGGATTCTCCACCAATCTGCAGTGTCTTTCGCTGTGCGCTAGTTTTTTCGTCACAGTTGGCAACACTTTTCGACCAGATTCAAAAAGTAACAATTTTGAATAGATTTTCACTCTTAACTCTTCGACGTCGATTTTTCATCAAAGCTGTAAATGAAACTCCGCTCGATATTTTTTCAGTGCATAATTTGATGTCTATCACAATTCACAATCGGTGGTGAAATTTTTATTGGTTACATTTAGCAGAAAAATAGAGAATATGTATACATATTTTTGCCAATTTTTGATAGTGTTTATAAATATTTAACTACCCATTGTTTACCAAGACATTTTTTATGCTTTTCCGCATGTTGCTGATAGGTTTCCCCGCCTCAAGAAGTACATCACGTCTCTCTATGACGAGGTGATGGATGAGCTTGCCGAGCCACGGAGAACCTACTCCATCATTGGAATCTACAGCATCCCAGATTTGGGCTATAGATTTATAGTGTGATTGCGAGAGAAGCAATGAGGCGATAACCAAGGGGTCGATCAAAGAATTCGAATATTTTACTACTTGCTTTATCACTAGAATTGTAATAAAAATCACTGAATTTATTATTTTTATTAGAGCTTCCTTTGAGGACATGCCAAAAGTGGAGTTTGGAGTTGTGAACCCATTGAGAGAAGGTTTAACAATGAATTGAGATTTGTAGATTAATGTGAGAGACAGTTGAAATGTACAAAAGCGTGATAAGATGAAGAGAAGTGGAAATAAAAGGGCGAAAGCTCGAGAGAGAGAGTCCATCTGTTGTGAGGTAGAGCTTTGGGTGTGCGCGCGCACCGAAAGCTCCCCGTCATATGGAAGGTATTTGAACCCTCAGCGGGAGTTATGGACCATCCTCTGGTTTTCGGTTAAATGCAGACTTTTGTGCCACAACTCAGCTCAGTATCAAGTTCAGCATGGAGCGACAAGCACCTCAGCGGACGCTTCAGACGCCACTTGAGAGTGGTCATCTCTAAGTTGCATTTCTACCTGAAGAGACCAGTTGAGGAGAGAGCAAAGGTTTTGCGGATTTGAGACGGAGAAAAGGGAGAACAATAGTTGATAAAATTCAGCGCTTTTTTAACACTCACAATAAGAGAAAATCTCGTTAAAAAATCTATTTTTAAAAACACATTAAAAAAAATTGGAAAGTGTGCTTTAGGAGAGGGCAAAAGAAAGGACGATATTTTGAAAGTTGTTTAGTGTGTGTGTGCAATTTGCTGATATCCTGAGACTCTTGAATACAATAAAATCAGTGACTTTTCATGCTGACCCTTTTCCATAATATTAGTATAACTCTAGTGTGTATACTGTAAATTTACACTTGTAATATTTTTACTGGGGAAAGAGGCAAAGATGGAAATCGGTAGTGAGATGTTTTCCATGGCTCTGGCGCTCAAGCTGCAGAAGAGCACTCCACCAACTCCGGATGTGGCTTCGCTGAGGCTGGCCGAGCCCATGATCAGGGGATCCTACAACACGGACTGGGACACATCGTCAGATGTAAGTTTTTAGCACTGCCTTTCAGCATCCTGACACATCCTTTCACACCCTTCCTGATGCAATGCTTGCAGAATCTGAACGACTACCAAGCAGGGAGTGGATACAATTCCACCGTGAGCTCGGAATCGCAGGAGAACGAGCTCTTCTACCGACAGTCCTTCACCATGACTGCCGTCTACTGTGTGGCGTACGCCATTGTCTTCTCCGTGGGCCTGATCGGGAACAGCTTTGTCATCGCTGTGGTCCTGCGGGCGCCGCGGATGCGAACTGTGACTAACTACTTCATCGTGAATCTCGCCCTGGCTGACATCCTCGTCATCGTGTTCTGCCTGCCCGCCACCCTCATGAGCAACATCTTCGTCCGTGAGTACCTTGTTACACGTCCTGATAGTTTTCCCGTGGCCAAATTCAATTATCCGATGGTGGAAATTTGCCCCGCGAGTCTCATAAATTCCCCAAGCATTGCCGTGGGAATTTCCTCCCCGAAACGGGAAGCTCTCTGCATGACTCTCACGGGAGTCCATCAATTGGAAGGTGTGTTGAAAAAATGGGAAAGGGAAATAATTCATGCATTGCATCCACTCAATCCGACGGTTTGTGGCTCACTCTCGATAGCGTTGCGAGTGGAGAGTTTTCCAACCCCGCAATCGACGGTAGGTCATCGGCACACAAGAGCGACCTACTTTTCCCCAACGAAATTGTACCTGTGTGCGCGCTCTATATAGCGTGCCGAGCGCAGACACGAAATACATAACATGAGACACTCCATGCACAGCTTTATGCTCTCCCTCTCCTCGTGAGTCACACAGCGCGGGCAGTGGGAGAAGCACAACAATTTTCCCACCCATCCTCCCATCTGTCCAATATTTGTCTGTCTCTCGCTAATGATGAGGAATACCGTCCAAGAGAGACATGATTTAGTGGGTGAGATTCAGCAGGACTTTTCCCTGAAGCTCACCAGCGTTTCCCTTTGATTCTCTCTCGCTGGCTCTCGTCAATCACGCTGCTCTCATCTTTTATTCACGGACGGAACAGTACAAACAGAATACATACATGAATAGGTAATATGGCTTTTATTCCGGGAAACCAGCCTGAAAGGCATCCCTTTGACGGAAATTCTTGGCGCACTGAGGAATTTCTGAGGTGAGCCAGTTTTCCCAGCCAGGGAAAAGTTTACTTCTCGCCAAAGTGGATATCATCACCATAAACGCTCAAGTATGAATCCCATTGGAATAACGAGCAGAGATTTCAGTGATCGGGACGGAAGAGTCAATGTTGTGGAAATGAGAAGTGAGAATAATCGAATTCATGGCATTGAGACTTTACTTTGACTTGAGATTCTCACTTTCCAAAATCAAAGGAAATTCAATTACAATCATCTTTGAAACACCGTCAGACATTTTTGGAGTTCCTTCAATCGCCGATAAAGGCGCTAAGAAGTAAAATTGAGTTAGAGATTAGAATGATGTTCGAATCTACCCCGCCTTCCTGTACGACAACAAAAGTTTCTTTCTCTGTAATTGTAAATTTCCCTAAATGTTGCTGAGCTTTGAGCTTTCTGCTCTTGTGCTGAAAATAGTTTTGTGTATAACAAAACCTTCCACTTTGGTATCTCATGAATCTTCTTGGCATTGTCAGTGTGGGCAAAAATCGCGTCAATCGGAGAGAGAAGTTCCATTAATTTGATCGTATTTTGTGTCCTGTCGCTTCACATCCGCCAGCGCAGCTGGAAGCCGGACGGAAGGCGAGAGTGGAGGAAAAAGATGTTGAGGAAAAGCTAATTTACACATTTCCATCTTGTGGCGAGTGTGTCTGAATTAATTGAAACCAGAGATTAATTGCAAATTGCATCGAGGTTGGGAGAGGCGAGCGTGTAAATGAATTTCTTGTACACTTCACACTGTAAATCTCTGGGCAACTTAATTCCCATGGGAGCGAATATTGCTCCACTGGCTATTGATTGATATGTCTCCCTTTCCCGGAATGCTGCCCACTCCAGGAGATTTATTCCACTCCGGTGGGCGTACGATGCCATTTAAACAATATATTGTGTGTAAAACTAAAATTTACTACTCTCCACCTTGTGCCAATCGCTCCATGGGTCACTCGGAGGGCGGAAAGCTCGCACAGCGAGAGAGCCACCCTTTGGCACAGGTAAATAATATAGAAAGGCTTCATCGATAGGTCATCGGCATAAATGCGACCCAGTTTTTCTCTGATATTTCCCACCACCCTCGAGCAGTGGGTGGCCTTTCTTGGGGTGTGTTTGCGACTTTCACCTCATCGCATTGTCAAATTCAACCTCGAAAGTCGGAAAAGCCACCCGACGGAAGAGGAGCCGAAGGAGAAGTGACACGGAGTGAATGAAGGGAAACCTAAATGGTGATTTAATATCACCTCTAAATCTCACTCTGACCTACTCTTCGCCCGTGCGGCGTATTTTTTCCAGATGTGCGCCGTGAAAGGTCGCGAGAGTCACGTGCCCGCGCGGGCATCAGTCATCTCCAGCGGAAGATGTGTCCTTCTGTCGCACTGCACGCACATGTGGCATCAATTGGGGTGCACAGGGCGCACTGCACCTCCCCGCAGATCGATCAGGGCTGCGCCTCATAAATACCATCCAGAACGCTTTCCCGCTTTAGCCTCCTTCTCGGCATTTCCACACCGCAGCCTTGGATGTTTCCTACCCCATCGCCGGAGCGCACAAACACGGAAAATCGGAAGGGGTGGGGGCTTTAGAATCTCTGTGGCAATAGAGTAAATACAAATAGAAAATGTACGATTGGAATTGATTGGTGTGTGTGCGCCATGGAAAGCACTCTCCTCGACAGTTTTCATGAGTGCGTCCTTCCCAAATGGAAATGCTCGCTCGCTCTCTCTCTCTCTCTCTCTCTCTCTCTCTCTCTCTGGTGAAATATTATTCAGAGGAACACGTATTAATTGGGCAACTTTCGCACTCAGGAAAATTCTAACTATTGTGGAGTTTATATTTGCTGATGTGCAAAACTTCCTGCTGGACTATTTTGCAGAAAATATACTTCCCACTCTCTCAAAATCGATATGTTGTTAAACTTTTAAATCACACTGAAGGGATGAGTTTTCCCCCGGGCGTATTTTGCCATCGATTTTACCCATTGCAACTGTGTGGCGCTGTAATTGCTCAACTATAGAAATCTTGAATGCTGCCTCGCTGTTCAGAAATATCAAGTTTGATAGAACTTTCCAGAAATATGAAAAACTGGAGAAAAAATCTGAAGATTTTGTTCCAACAATTGCTTCACACTTTTCTGCAAAAACCCATCTATAAGTGAGAACTCTGAAAGAATGAAATGTATTCATATAATTACTGCAATTAATAACTGAGAAAGAAACATGTTTTTTTTGTTTATTTGCATTTTTGCTATTACTATTTAATTTATAGCACACATAAGGATAATTCTGCAATATTGACTCTTTTTATTAGCCATTTTTTTTAATGAATTTTACAGAATAAAATAGATTTATAACTCGCTTATATTAATTTTGTGCTCTTCCTTTTCACTTTTAGCTTTCAAAAGAGCCCTGAATTTCCCTTTTGCCATATAAAAAATTGTTTTCTTGAAATATCTATCCAATTTCGGGCTACTTTTGCATTTCTTCAAAGGAAACGAGAAATATCTCAGCTTCTTCAGACAAGAGCGAAGAATCTTTAACAAAAAAAACTTCGCATACAAAAGTAGCAGTAAAAATGAAAAAAAAATTATTCCCTCTCAAAAAGACCATCGAAGCGCGCTTCACTTCCTTTTGCTTACAGTTTTTTTTTTCTCTCTCTCCTGCATCGTCTGAGTGAAAAAGGAGAATGCTGGGAATTTTCGTAATAAAAGAATGCTTCTCTTCGGTTGCGAGAAGTGGAAATTCCTGGGTAAGAGAGGAAACTTGACCGCAGAAAAAGACACTGGGCGCGTGTGGTGGAATCTGAGGCTTCGTGGGTGGAATTGAAGGACACAAAGAGGGTGGACTGGGCGCAAAAGGCGAATTCTCCATTTAAATGTGCGGCCCTGACCACTCGAGGCACTATCATAATTGCTTATATATCGCCCAGGTGGTCGGAGTTCATCGACCATTTGACCTGGTTTCCAATTGGCAAGAGGAGTCGTCTCGCTTTTCTCCACTCGCGGGCGTTCGGCGGAAAGCTCGCACTTTCTGCAAGTCTGCCCGGCAGTTGCAATATTGACTCGAGACACTTTCCACTGGGGATTTACTCCAGGTGGCAAAGAAGGCGGCAGTCTGGCTGCTTTCGCATTGATTTAATGCATTATTTCCAATTTGGCGGAGTTAATTTTCACCACCGACGCGGCGCGCGAGGAAAACATCCGCAAAGGAAACACATTTTTCCCTCTGCAGCGAATTTATGGCTTTTCGCAGAATCCCTCCTTTTCATCCAGGGCGATTCGTCGTAAAAGCATATAGCGTAAACAGGGTGTGAGAATGCGGGAAAAGTGCTCTCTCTCTCTGGGAATCGATGCGTGAGCGAGGAAAATTGAAAACAATCGCGGAGAGATCTGGGAAAATGCGCGGGAAGGCGACGACAGCTGCCAAATCGCAGGAGGATTGACAAATGGATGTGAAATGTCACAAAAAAGCCGTTGATGCGTAGTTCCGTAATTCATTGAGATAAATTGAAGGATAATTCTGCAAATTAAATGCTCAGATGGGTGTTAGCTGGGTATTTATAGACTCTCCCGCGCCCATGTCTTAATCCAGCGAATCCGGCAAGATTTCCCGTGGCTGACGGAAAAACCCTTGAGCTTTTTATCATGTCACAGCATCCCTGAAGTGAATCATAAAGGGGGCAAAATCCCCTTTTAATTATCGCTACACTTTATTGCTGATTTTGATGTATTCGAGTGGGTGGGCCGTCATGAGCCAAGGCAAAGTTACACAAGAAGTCCAAACGTGACCCAGTTGCCGAAGCCCTTTTTTCCCTTCGTCGCACACTCGCTGTATCTCATTGACTATATCAAAATGATTGTTAAGCGATAGTGCTCAAGAAAAATGTAGCTGACGACATAATTGACAATGTAATCGCCGCAAGGAAAAGTGGCCCCTTGAGAGAAAGTGCAAGAGGAAGAAATTGACGAGACATGGCGAAAGTTTTGATCTTCCCCACATCAATGCTTAATCAACAAGCCTCTTCTCCTCCTTCTTCCAATACTTTCCACCCAGGGAGAAAAGCCATTGCCAGTACTTTAACATTGAATCACTGTCGAATGTGCATTGCACTGGTTTTATGTAGTTAAGGACGTTGGGTGGGAAATAAATAGGTCAAAGCACGGGTTTTGGGGCTTCTGCAGCCCCACCAGTCGTCTCGCTCGCTCGCTCTC